CATATTTTATGAGATGTCAATTACTAATGTAAGAAGAATTCATTCGTAAGATAATCATTAAATGATTCGTAATGAACCGTAGAAATAAGTAATTACTCAGGATTTTGCAAGGGACTGATCTTTAGCGATCGGTAATTGTTTATTCCTCGGTTGCTAATACTATGCAGCTCGTTGAGAATTTCTTTCGAGAAGTGACGTCATTGCAAAAGCCCCCAGCTTTCGTTATCTTCATCGTCTAGTTTACGAATACCACATGTCGATGTGATGTTTTAATTGATAAAAACGAATTCCTTACACATTTCGTTATCTTATTGTGAAATAGCAAACTAAGAGATATCTTTACTCGCTAGGAATTAACATAATATTATTTGAAGCGATTTTAGAAAATTTTGAAACCGCCATCTTGGTAATATTGATGACGTGATCACCATCGGTCAAGGTCAGGTCAAAAGTCATCCTTCTTGCCATTTGCCCAGCGGATGCTTACCAGTCGACAAAAAACGATGAAACCACGTTAAAAATAAAATATACACTTTAAAATTGAGGCTGATTGAATATGACAAGAATCCATTGAATACAGCTGTGCAATTTACAGTCACCAAGATGAGCTAATTTCGGAGAGATTCGGGGATTAAAAAAGGTAACACATTCCGTTTTCCCAACTTCAAGAATTTGGAATCCCAGAATCTCCTTTCGCCAGAACATTCTCTCTGACTGTGACTGAGGAGGTAAGAAACGTTCACATTCAAAATTATGTGCTTGAATACAACAAATATCTTACACTCCCCAGGGACCGATTCTGAAGTTGTTAATAAACATAGTAATATTTCCAGCAACTTCATATTGACTGAGAAATTGAAGGTCACAGGGTTTTTATAAAAATATATTCCAAAAATTCTTGACACCCTGTAAGTCGTAGGTCGTAGGGTCGAAGGGTCGAAGGGTTTTTAGTACATTCCAGGAAATACACATATGCCTTCATACTTAATTGTGCAGGTATAGCAATTTTTTACCAAAATGTTACTTTCCAGCTGAACCTTAAAATGTATCTCTGTCAATTATTTCTGTTCGAGGACTCACCATTGGTTTTAAGGTCAGGGTGCATGATGGGAAATTTTCTGCATTCCTCAATTGAGTCACATGTTATTTTTCAAACAAGAATCACTCCTTCCCCACATTGTCTATATCTTCCAGTTTTGCACAAATAGTGCACTTATGTGCCTAGAAAAGACTTGTGAGAAGAATGTTTTGATAAAGTGTATAGAAAACAAAAAAATTCAGTGAAAAAAATCAGAAAAATTTCAGAATTTTTTTTCACTGAATTTTCTCATTTTTTATACATTTTACAAAACAAACGTTCTCACAAGGCTTTTCTAGGCACATAAGTGCACTCTTTGCGCAAACTTGGAAGATGTAGACAATGTGGGGAAGGAGTTATTCTTGTTTGAAAAATAACATGTGACTCAATTGAGGAATGCAGAAAATTTCCCAACATGCACCCTGTCCTTAACCAAACCCGTCTCGCCCAGTTATCTACTTGTAGAGTTCGGGAGTAGATAACTGGGCCAGACAGGTTTGGTAACATTGGTTTTTGAATCCCAATGGTCCAAATCCCAATTGTCTGAATCCCATTTGTCTGAATCTCAATGGTCCGAATCCCAAGTGGTTTGAATCCCATTCAACCGAATCCCAATGGTCGCAGGCCTGTCAACTGTCCCGCAATTTGCGTATTTGTCACACATTTGCTGAAGAATTTGAAGTCACGCCAGTTATTTTTGCGTGACAGAAAATGTCACGCAAATACGCATTTTACCTGGTAATTGTCAAGCAAAAATATTTCTGTAGAAAACTTTCTAAAAAAGATCGTCTACACAGTAAAAATACGAACAACGGGAAAAAAACGTACGCATTTCGTTCGGACTTTTCACGCGAATTACAGATATGTCACGCATTCCGTTCAAAATTTTTCGTACCTACCCCCCCCCCCCCCGTTGATGGATGTTTGAAACGCGAGCGCGAAAAATTTGAGGTGTTCAAATTTTGGATCAAGGTGTTCAGATTTGGACCAAGGTGTCCACATTTTGAGGGGAGGTGTTCAACATTTCCAAGTCACTCATGTTAGGTGTTACACTTAAGTTTACATCTACTTTACATCCAATTCGCACTTAGTTTTCACTTAAGTTTACACTCAGTTTACACTTACTTTACACCCAGTAAATAGGTGACCGATTTCACATGCAAATGAGCTAATTTACACCTAAGTTTACACTCAGTTTACACTTTAGTATACATCCAATTTACATCAAGAGCACATTCTGATTGGTCAGATTTTAAAGATTTTAACTGCTTATCGCAGGGGGAGAGAATGCAAAGATATTCTGAATTTTGAAGCACTGTGATCAGAGAATAATATTAATGAAGATACAGGGGGTCCAAAGCGTAACGAATTGCAAAAACAAAAATCCCATGTTCATTTTAATCGCCATGGGGATTTTCCTGGCATTTTCTGTATAAGCGCTTTAAGAAGTATTTGTAGGAGTTATGCTATAGTACAAATATCACAGAATGATCAGCATTAAAGATCTATACAAGTATAGTTCTGCTCAGATTTTTAAATTGAATTTTTAAACAAAAAATGCTACAATAATTCTTTTTTGTAAAAAGTTCAAATCCGCCATCTTGAATTATGATGTCACAATGAGACTCTTTTGCATATTCAATTTTTTCAAGAAAAAACCCCATAAAATATGGGTCTATATAATTTATTGGGCCTTGTTTCCTTCTCTTGCTTCTAGATTCTTTTACAAATAACTTTTTTATTTTCTTCATTTTTCCAAAAAGTTTCCAGTCTCCAAGGAGTTAATGAATGTATACAGGCCTGTCAACTGTCCCGCAATTTGCGTATTTGTCACGCATTTGCTGAAGAATTTGAAGTCACGCCAGTTTTTTTTGCGTGACACAAAATGTCACGCAAATACGCATTTTACCTGGTAATTGTCACGCAAATATGTTTCTGTAAAAAATTTTTCAAAATATGTTTATGATACGGTAAAAATACGAACGTCGGAAAAAAACGAACGCAATTTGTTCGGATTTGTCACGCGAATCCCGTATATGTCACGCATGTTCATTGGAAATTTTCGTACCTACCCCCCCCCCCCCCGTTGACGACATCGCGAGCGTAGCGAGCGCGAAAAATTTGAGGTGATAAAAGTTTAGCAAAGGTGCTCAAACTTTGGCCAAAGGTGTTTAAAAGTTGGCCAAAGGTGTTCCAAATTTGGACAAAAGTGTTCAGATTTGGACTTCGGTGTCCAACATTTGTAAGTCACTCATATTAGGTGGTCCCAAGTTGACAGCCCTGTGTATATGCCCTATGTAAAACCTATACAAATGAACTGACCCATATTGAATTACAGCCCAGGATATAATGCCATCATGATTCAGATTAGAATGAATTCTAGATGAAAAGATCTAAACAAACAGGCAAGCACAAAAGGTAGAAAGATTCAATGGATATATTGAAAAGAAATTTGAAGCTTAAGAAAATGGATAACTAAATGAACAATGATGATGAAACTGGAACAAATGCACAACTAATACCTAATGGTAAAGTTGACACCAAAATCAAATAAAGTAAAACTGTATCAGGGCCGATGTTATAGGATTTTGTGAAGACTTACCAAAACCAAAATGGCTAAGCCAGCTTTGATTGAAAGAGAGGCTGAATGAGCCTCGTTTTGGAATTAGGATTCAGTCAAGTATACACTTATTTTACACTTTGACCAATATTTGATTTTTCTGAGTCTAATTTACATCCAGTTTTCACTTTTAACAAATTCAAAGTCAAGTTTACACCTAGTAAATCAGTGTTTACTTTCTGCTAGTAAATACCTATTTACTTGAGGTAAAGTTAACATCGAAGTATACACCAAGGTCTGGTGTAAATTAAGTGTAAACTGAGTGTAAACTGGATGTAAACTTGAATTCATTTTTGTTTGGGGACCACATAGAAATATTATGATAAAAAGTAAGACTTTGCATACTGCACATCTTATAGCTCGACGTTTCTAAAGCCTCTGTAATGACCTTCGATAGCAAGTCGCTACTACAGTCTCAACTGTACATTTAGTAGCTAGCCCTTATGGGTCAGGGGTAGAGCGTCTGACTCCCTTTCACATTCCCATGTCTAGTATCTGATCGTTACGGACAGATGTGCCTATAAGGGTCGTTACACCTCCATTCAATTCCGTTGACCAATCTATGTGAATGACACCTGTTTAAATTCATTTCTAAACATACATCCTTTAATGTTTTATAGGGATCCAAGGGTTCCTGTTCTTGGTGAACCAGATTCTAATAATGATGTTTCTGATGGTGTTGAGAATGTTGAACATGATGGTTCCATGTCTCCAAAGAAGAAAAATATCCCTGTAAGTATAATAAATGCTCAGTTTACGAAAAAACAATTTCACCTATAATCTAGGCTGTCCATCTGTCCCGCAATTTACATATTTGTCACACATTTGCTGGAAAATTTGAAGTCGCACCATTTTTTTGCGTAACTGAATATGTCACAGCATTTTACCTGATTATTGTCAAGCAAAAATATTTCTGTAGAAAAACTTCAAAAAATGATCGCCGATACAGCAAAAAAATGAATGCCGAAAAATACGAATGCACTTTGTTCGGACTTTTCACGCGGATACCGTACATGTATATGTCACACATTTTCTCAGAAATACTTTGTACCTACTCCCTACCTATTTTATGATTTTTGCTGTAACTTGAAAAGTAGTGGAGCAATTTTGTTCATATTTGGTATGTGAATACTATATAATACTATAATAAGCATGGCTCACTGTCTAATGACACTTTTGATGCAAAATGGCTGCCAGTTTAATGGTTTTTACTATAACTCGAAAAGTAGTGGAGCGATTTTGTTCATATTTGATATATACTGTCTAATGACACTTTGGGGAGTAGGCTGACATTTTGAAAAATGGCCACCATTTTTTATGTGTTATTATACGTTTTTTTAGTCAAAAAGTAATGAAGCGATTTTGTTCATATGTGATATGTGAATACTCATAAGCATGGCACACTGTCTTATGACATTTTGGCAAGTTGGCGTCCATTTTGAAAAATGGCCATTGACATTATGCGTGTGTGATTTTGTTGAAATTTTATATGTGCCTACTTAGAAGCATATTATACTTTCTGAAGACAATTTTGCTATAGTGAGCAACCACATATTTTTTGCCGTTTAATGCCAAAAATGCCATTTACATGTACAGTATGTACTCTTGATTCTTGAATGGGTTGTTTTTGGCAATCGGGGTCATAATTGCCAGCATTTGACAACCATCACATTTAATATTTTCAGTGCTGCTTCGCTGCTGCTGCATAATTAGGCTATATGTATTTGTGGAGTATTCAGTACATGTCCAACCACAATGTGTAGTAAACCAAACACTTTAATAATATAGATATTTCTAGTGGTTATGATCAATATACATTTTGCATTTGTAGAGATCTCAGAAAAAGAAAATAGCGAGGGAACAAAGGATGGCCAACAAGGTCTTTCACAGAAAGGAAAAGAAACTTGAAAGAAAGAAGCGAATTAAAGAAGTTTGTGATAAAACAAAGGGTAGGACATGTGATTTAAAAACATCAATAAATATTATTTATTTTACAACCAAAAAGTGGTGACATTCTGTTTAAGCCACAATTTCTTTGTGACTGACATTGGCATTGATACAGGGTGTTCAAAAAAAATGCAACCCAAAGAAATTGCTATTTTTTGAAAAACACTGGTTCAATTATGTTCATATTTTCAGGATATAAAGAAGAGACTGTGTATGTAAAGCTCCTGTAAATTGGTTGGTTGTAAAACATGATGCCTTGGACACCTGCTCAAAAGACAGTTGTACTAGAAAAATACGAAAAACGCAGTCAGGGATGACTGCAACCGCAAAAAATTAAATAACTTCCTAACCAAAGTGTTTTGGCTCTTCAAATTTGGCACAAATCATCTTCATTCACTGTATGGTAAATTATTGCTGTAGAGTCACTTCTGACTGCGTTTTCATATTTTCCTAGTACAACTATCATTTGAGCAGGTGACCAAGGCATCATGTTTTACAACTTATTGACAACAGGAGCTATACATACACAGTCTCCTCTTTCTTTTCCTGAAAAAATGAACATAATTGAATTAGTATCTTCCAAGATACTGTATAAGTGGTAATTTTGCCTAATCATTTAATTTTCCTATTTCCTAATTTTTGCCAGGTTCGGAAAATTAAATGTCGGAAATATTGTCTTTATAATGTTATCCAATGGGAGGTTTCTTGTCATTAGGAAAATTAAAATTAGGAAAATGATGAAATTTGACCATTCGGAAAATTAACCACTCTAACTAACTAACAACAGGGGCTATACATACACAGTCTCTTCTTTCTTTCCTGAAAATATGAACATAATTGGATTTGTATTTTCCAAGATATAGCGATTTCTTTGGGTTGCGTATATTTTTGAACACCCTGTATTTGGCATTTCTTGTTCAGGTTCAATCTGTAACATATGGTTACACTTAACTGTAACTACAACCTGGTGGTGACATATCTCAATTTTATGCATTGTCAAACATTGTCCCTTGTTGTTTTAGTAATATATTTATGGATGAATAAATGATCTACAAAAAATGAACTACATTGTTAATGCTTCATACATATGTATTTTAGTCAATGATGCTGAATGGGTCAGTAAGAGAGACCGTAAGAAGGCCATTCAAGCAGGTCTCAAGGTAGCCCTGGAGTCCGGACAGAGGATCTGTATAGACTGCAGTCTCCAACAGTGCCAATCAAAAAAAGTATGCTTGTTTTATCTGGGATACTACAAATTAGTATCATCCATCCAAAATGGAATAGCTAAATTGCCTTGATAAGGCAGTCTTTTTCAAAACCACTGGGGTCAGCCAAGTATGATCAGATAATCATGTGTTTAGAAGTAGCCACATATAAGTGTTGATATATTCTAACTAATACAGCCTTCATTCTTTGTAACTGGCACGGTGCATTGTCTCCTGTTTGGTATCAGTATCTGTAACAATTGTTGCATATTTGTAAAACTAAAAAGTAAAGTTCTGTTGGAGCATTTCAGTTTGAATTTAAGTAGGATAATATGACATTTTTTATGAAATCTTTTAAACTATCAGATACCCCAAATATGGCACTAAATTGGTTGGAACATATTCACAGGCTGGTATCGAAAAATTTGTCCGCTGTGACAGAGCGTGCTATTTTGCATAGAAACACGTGGAAATCCACATAATTTATTTTTTACTCGGGAATTCTTGAAATTACCTCCTGAAACTTTCAGATGTTTATGATAAATATAGCAATAATTTTGTATTTACTCTGTTATCAATTATCAACAAAATGATCAAATATGAAAGATAATACAAATCAATTATTGAATAAAATGACATTTACAACGATCTATGTTCCCCAGGTTTTTTCAGATGTCCTATTCATTTATTTTTAGGAGATTAGCAAGTTGGCATCTCAGATTGGCCGTGTTTATGGTACAAACATAGCAGCAGTCAAACGAGCCTTTGATCTACATACCAGTGCCAGTAATCACGATGTAAATGATAAAACATTAAATAAGGAATTTCACAGTGTGTCCCAAGCATTTCATGTGTACCTCACTGGTCTCTCAAAGGGAAGTGTCTTATATGATGAGTGTGTGCGGAAAAACGATGGATTCGAAAACTATTTTGTAAGAAAAGTTTGCAGTACTTTTATCCTATTTAAATTATGTTATAAGTATATTGTTAAGATAAGGTTCCAGGGAAGAGATAATTGTTTAAACATAGTAAAACCTGTCTTAGTGAACACCTCTCTCTAGTGTACACCTGTGTCTAGTAAACACCTCTTGACCTCTCTGTAGTGGACACCTAGCTACCTATAGTGAACACATTTTTGTGGCTCCACGGGTGTTCACTCTACACAGGTTTTACTAGATGTACAAATGTTTGGTTGGGATATTAGAGGGTTGTTCAACTGATGTTGTGAGTGTACATTTAAATTTAGTTATGTTTTGGTTTAAATTGTAGTTGGATATATCTGAGCTTGGGCATGCAGACATCTTCCCACAGAGGGACCTAGTTATCCTAACTCCAGACTCACCAAATGAGCTTCTTACAGTGGACCCTGATAAGGTCTACGTTATAGGGGGCCTCATTGATGAAACTGTACAAAAGGTATTCATGGACATTTGACTGATGATAAGCTTTTATTATGTCACCACTTTTTTGGGACAGTGTTCAATGGTTGGCAATCAGCATATGTAACAAATGGCAGGAAGTGACATTTCGCATGTTAATATCTTGACTGAAGTGTGTGATGAGTGCCGTTTTTAATGATAATTAGCAATAAAATGTGTTTGTCTCATATACAGGGTGTCCATACAGTCTGTACAATTACAATAAAAAGTCTGTGTAAACACTTATTATGGAGACCTTATTTTCAGAATGTGACTTTAGACGCAGCTCATACTACCAGACTCCAGACAGCAAGACTGCCAATTGATACCTACATGACCAGAGGGGAATCGGGCACATACGTCAAGATACTCACTGTAAACCAAGGTAGGCCTTCATGTACTTGCAAATGAAGTTCATTGTATTAACATACACGTTTCAATTCAACTGATTATTCAGGGTGTTGATTACAATCTATAAGAGAATGTAGGAGATTACCAAGCAGAGAAACTATTAAACCAAAATGAACTTGATGAGCGCGCACAAATAAATTTTATTATATTAACTTAATTTGACTATAAATATGTAAATAAAGGATTTCCTCTATCTGGTTTCCTTTGTCTCCTTGTCAGAAATATACTTAAAAAGTTACCATTTACATGTACGAGAAAGAATCTCTTGAAAGCCCTTGTTTATACTAAGGAGACTAGAAGACACCAAAATTCTTGAATGTTGTGCTTTCATATTTTTAGTATTTGGGATACTGCTAACGTATAAAGAGACGTTGAGCTGGTCAATAGCATTCGAAACATGGATACCAAAAAGAACTGGTCTTATATTGAAAACAGAAGTATCTAACACAACCAAGTGAATTCTGGAATACAAGCAACAGATACTGCAAGAAACTAGTCTACCAGCACAATGTCACAACCAGCAAAAACTATTGCTCAACAGTTGAATTTATCAGCAGGGTGGACGTTTCGATAAAGGCAACAAACAAATACATGTAAAACCACAAAAATCAGTGATGAGAGCATCTATTTCATCAATGTACATTAACATGAAGCAACGTTTCTCCTGTTTTATTGATAATTCATTGATTTGCACGGAGCCATGGTTGGCTGAATAATCATTCCCTTTGCAACATATCGTAAAAAATTAATCAGAAGTCAAATTTCACTTTTGATTTCAGATTCCGAATCCTGATGATTTTCTATTAATGTGATACCAATATCTCAGCCCATGCAACATCGTAGACCTTTTTGTTGACCTAATTTCTGGACACCATTTCTCAACTCTTCAGATACTCTACCTTATAACGGCAAAAAACTATCGATTTCTTTTGATTTCAGATTTGGAACCTGAGAAAATTTACTATCAAATTGATACCAAAATCATTGAATTTGGAGAACTTTTTGTTGGCCAACATGTATGTCAATCTAAAATTTGTCTAGTCATAAAATAGGCCGGTGTGAAATAAATTATGGTCCCCCGGGGATTGTGGTCCACGTTTTTAAAGGCCCTTACTGGCCCTGATTGTGTATAAGATAATAAGGGAAAGAGATCACCATATAAATCAATGGAGAGTAATTGCATTTAGCAAATCCCCAACATATTTAAAACTAATTGAGTGAGCTTTTGACTGACAAAAAAAAACTCAAAAACGCAATTCTGGCTTGTTTTATGGCTCAATATCTATCTTTGACAAGACGAATTTCACATCTATACATACCATGAGTGCATTAATAGTAAGTTAGCATTTTTAAGGAAAAAATCATTATTGGTTTAATCCTGATCATTGGAATTTAAGTGGTCGATATTTGTTACTTTGCCATACACATGTGGTCACGAAGAGAAAACTAAAATATTCAATTTGAAAACTTTCATTGCGGTAACCAATTATCATTGGAACATCAGAACATCAAAATCAGCCGACTTCATTTGTAAAACTACATCGCTTGTAAATAGTATTTTCATGTTGATGGTCGAAAACACAGTCTAGCCATTCCTCCTTGCAGAATCCAAACACTTTGGTTGTGTCACCATCGGTTTGACTACACAGATCACCCTCTTTCAGTTGACAACGACGTTTCTCTGGATCAGTACACTAAACCATTAAATAGAAAGACAGGTGAGTTACAAAAATATACGCGTGATCTAAACATTGACCTTTTGTGAGATTAGATGTACATTTTATTCTAAGTACAGGAAAACCTGGATAAAATACTCGTCTATTATTTAATGCACTCGGCTATTTTTAAATTACATCAATTTCATTATTTCAAGTCAGTTGGGGAATATCCCTGAGTTCAAAGATGCCATACGCTTATAACGTAAACTTGTATTGAGATGACAGGAGACCACAGTGGCTGCTTCAAAATTTTCGAAATACGAGACGCTTCGAATAATGTTATGTTCCTTTCTGGCTGTTAACCGATATCATAGTTTCTTATTTCACATCAAGATATAGAGGAAGGTGTGGAGAATATGCCTACATCAAAGTCAAGTGACTTCCGTTGATTGTTATTTCTAGTCACGTGGAGGACATGGACCAGCCAGAGAGTGAGGAATATGACAGTGATATAATAATAATTAATATCATCAGTACATACCTCTTTCTTTCTCCTGTGACATTCCATTGCTGCTACAAGCAGGCATCCGATCAAAATAACTTGAACTCGCATGGCTTGCTCTGTTGACTGAAATACGAGATATACGTAGATTTGCTATTATATATATTGTTTTCAAGAACTTCACACTGAAGCTAAATGATTAGCTAAATCCAATATTAGAATATGTGTTATACACTGTTATATGGGAATGTTTACGATGATAGATGTATTTCATTTCCGATGTTTTATTAAATACGTTATCAGTCATATTACACTCAAGCCACGTATTTCTTTCATTATAACGAATTTATTTTATGTTACATGACTATATGTTTTTATTCCGCTATTTAATATACGCTCTACCATGAGTATTTGGTATCAAATTAAAGGTCTCTTAATCGTGCAAAATATCATTTAGTTTTATCTCAGGGTTATAAAAGCTGAACGCTTTATCAATCGTCGAACATTCCAAACTATCATTTTTTGCCTTGTAACCGATCACCCTTATGTTGATTGACAGTAACTTTTTTATGTTTTGAAACGTATTTTGTTATAATTGACTAGGTTATCACAAAGACTGCATCGTGTCGATTGTACGTTAGCTGGAATTAATTTATTTGCTGATTTACTATTGGAAAATCGATATTAAGTATGTGTAGCCCTCGAAGGCACCATCATCGACACCATGCTTGAAATCAATGGTGTCGAGAAGCCGCTGCACTATTTATGATAATCCCCCGTTTACTTATTTGAATCGAACATATTTAGCTTGTTACGTATTTTTCGACGTAAAGTACTATTTTTTCAAAATCATCATCGACTCTACAAGTACGTTGTCTTTGCACTCTGCTTTCAATCAAAATCAGGTTTCAATGTTAAGTAATGGTGTTAAAGGTTTGGCTCAATATATATTGATAATATAAAAAATACGCTTTATTGATGTTATTCTTTGACCACGTAAAGATTGAGATATTTACGACCATCAAGAACACCACCACATACGACTCCAAAATACTATCCACATATTAAATAGGTCACGTGTATAATCGAACGCTATATATTTGTTGAATGAACCTACATTCATAATGACTATTTTGTTTTATGTTAAGCATTTTACAGTGATACTGAGCTAAGAATTTAGAGCATGTGGTTCATTGTGATTACAACGTATCGTAGTAAGTAATATTGAATCTATTAAGCAGATCATGTTATTTACTTATGATGCATATTCTTTTTGTCTTGAAATGCTATGGTAATGTGTCACAAGAATTGGGATGATTGAGCAGTTCATAGTTTTATATCACTGACAAATATAGATGCACATTCCCCGATATTTCTTAATTTATAGTTGTTATGTTCAGTGTACCACTAGACGAAATTTATTTGTTGTCATTATTGTAAAATAATAAATATTTCATTGGGAGAATCAGTTTTGTGACATTTTATTAATGTACATAACTTCACACATTCTCATTAATATATCTGTCTTACTTTTAAGACCTTTCTGATGATATAAGAATATGGCACTCACTAACGCCGAGAAGTGCCGCCAGGGAGAGAGAGAAAAAGAAAGATGCCAAAGGCTACTTAGAGCAAGAACGATTGCGACAGCGAGCATCGTACACACCGAGAAATAACCTGTGAAGCTGGTGAAGCTCTTCAACGGATCAGAGAAAAGAACAACAAGGCATCCCGGGAATACAAGGCACGCATACGCCAAGTGTATAGAGAGGGGTTTCCGATAATATTGTTGAAACGCGAGAATTATCGTGATATTGTGACGCATGCAGAACAGATACGCCATCCTCACCATGTGGTTGGCAAAGTAACAACCTTATATAAATGTTCATCTCTCTGGTAGTAATGTTCTATTAACAAAGTTGTTGATTTTCTTTCTCAGAGATATTTATTTTTCTTTTGACGTTTTCGTACATCCTACGAAACGTCAAAAGAAAAATGAATATATCTAAGAAAGAAAATCAACAACTTTGTTAATAGAACCCTATAACCGTTAGGAAGACCCACCAGGCAGCTAAGGTGGTTACCGAACAACCATCTTTAAAACCAAAACGGACCACACGACGAGCACACCCGACACCAAGTACGTCAAGTAAAGCATCGACGCCCTCCTACGTTTCCACTCTTCCAATCACATTGAAGCGTCGGCCTTTAGTAACCCCATCTACAAGTTCAAAGTCTTCAGACACCATTGTTTCCGCGAAGAAAAGGAAAGGCCCGATAAAAAGAACAGACACTGTAGATATTTTCAAGGCATGCGGTGTCAACTATTATTCGGATTTACAATCGCAGTTCGAATGGATCAAATGCTCTAAATGCCCCGACTGGTTTTATGATTCCGGGAAATGTTCTTGTGTAAAGGGGATCCTCATTGGAGAAATATTTACATGCTTTAATTGCATGAAAATACCTTAAATGTGTAAATTATGTAAACGTTATTGTTTAGAAACCTAAGCGACCATCAACGACACTGTCATATTACACTTAATATCACAAAGAGAAGTGATTGACCTATTCGTAACAATGTTGTATTTTGTTGTAAGAAGACATGTGTGTCTAATTTGTAGATTCATTTTGTCGATCGACGAATTGACATGGCATATTATTTAGCTTAGAAAACAAAATCCTGAAATTAATTATCTTTAGGTAAACTCAAAACAATGTATTTCAATGATTATCTTAATAAAATTCTCTTGTTAAGATAAACAACAACGTGTATTGCAATTTATTTTTGTTCAAGTGGTTAAATAATTCAAACTTAATACATTAGTTTATCTGTAAACTCAAAATTAATTTTGAAACATGAATCAATGTAAGCCTATGTATGGACCATCATCGACACCAGCAATTTAAGAGTATATTTACGTTTTGATGCACAATCAAGTAATTGTTTAAAGGGTAATAAAATATTTTGAGAAACGCTTCTTAAACCCCATGGCTAATGGGATATGCATTTATATCTCAATCTAAAATTTCATTTTTTTCTACTTTTACATTGATCAAATGTGAAAGAGATCCGTGGCTTGAGTGATTAACCTCTTGTTCTTTTTTCAACACCACAACGGACAACCATTACCATTGGGTTTATTTTTAAATACTGCCTATACTGCCTCTAAATAAAAATTCTAAAATAACAGGACTTCAGATGTTATCCAAATAGGGAGACGAGGCTAGGGGTATTACGCGGTAAACACGATACAAAAATATGTCATATTCCGCAACGAATATGGCATATTCACTTGCGGTGTATGACAGATTCACTTGCGGTATATGGCATACACACTAACCAATGAGAACGTGATACGGAAGTACCATCGATTGAACGAACAAGTTAAACGATATAAATTATTATAATGATTACTGAATCAGCAGTACTGTGTATCGATATATTAACTTAGCAGAAGTATAAGTCACCAATCTCGCGTAATAAACTTACTCAATCAATCCAGGATTCATATATTAGTACTCGACGCACTAACTATATTTGTATTCCAGCGTAGTTTTACATTTAGAGGCGATTCTCGCAACCAATCAAATCAAGGCTTTCTGTATCACGTTTTCACCTGCGCTATATGGCATATTCACCTGTGGTTTATGGCATATTCCGCAAGTGAGTATGACATATTCCGCAGGTGAGTATCGGGTATTCACTGAAATCAATGTATCGCATATTCACTGCGGAATATCGCATACTCACCTGCGGAATATGCCATATACCGCAGGTGAGTATGGCATATTCACCCGTATCACAAATACCGCGCAACCATGAATGTATGCCATATACCGCGTAACAGATATATTGAATTGATGTTTTAGTGAATAGATTCTATTTTAAAAGTTAGAAATAAGCGTGAAAGATAAGTGGATTTTGAACAATCGCCTCTCATTGCAATATAAATGTCAGAGCGATAA